CTTAGTTTGAAACATTAATCTGTTATGTCTGACGATAGAATCTGCTAGAAACCTAATACTTGAAACAATTGTTTTTGCTGCAAATGAGAGACCCTCATGGCCATTAGTACCCACAGCTACGTTTCAGTACAACCCAAAAAAATAAATCTAACCAATCAAGAACTTCTTCCTTGCATCTTGCATCTCTTTCGGTAAGAACGTGAGAAGACAAAAACCTTTTCCTTTTTACCTTCTCAAGCAGAATGCTCCTCAGCATTACCCTGCATACACTGAGGATACTTGAAGGGGAGACTTATTACAGGCTGATCATCGGACAGCCCTTGACTTGCCAACCCAAAGGCATACCCCAGTGCGACCCCTACAGGAACAGCCACCGCATTACCAACCTGGATGTATCTGAAAATTCAGACACAAAATCAGTTTTCATATTAGACGACTCTCTCCAACCCAAATGAACAGCAAACTAGAAACATGCTTGTAAAGAAGCGACTTACTTTTCCTTTATTGGGCCACACAGCTTGTAAAAATCAGGAAACCCTTGCAATCTCGCGTTCTCACGGACAGTCAACACACGGTCTTGCAATGGATGGATTACAGTCTGCAAAAACAAGTTTTAATGACAAAGAGGTCAGTAAAGAATTCAAAGGTGCACACACAAAAAGCAAATGGAAATGTAGAAAAAGACTTACCTGGTTGTGAGGTTCTGCCCTTGTCACAACCGTATAAACGATTTCGTCCCACCATAAGCGACCAAATGGCCTGAAAATCAGAGAGCAGATGAGTTACTTTAGTGAATCTAACATTACCAGGTAATGGAAATAGATTCCAGAAAAGCATATTAGTTAGAGAAAGTCACTTTTTTGATCTGCCATGGACAAATGTCATTGCATAATCAGGAACCTGCAGAAAACACACAGCCATGTCATAAAGAATCCGAAGAAAAATGGTAACTGAAAAAACCACAAGGCTGGGAGTTGATTCATTTGTACCAGAAATTTTCCAGATTTCAGTTTTGGACGCTCTATAGAAGGGTCAAATTTGACTCTGTTGTTTTGAACCAAAACACCGGTTAAATCTCGGAAATTGGCACCCTGTAGCAGCAGTAAGAGTACAATAACGTGAATACGAAATTATTACACATTAAACCATCAAAGCAAGTACAGTAACATATAACATCAAAAGATAGTCATACCTTCTTTTTTGGAATTTGGCAAACCCGTTCAAAATCGTCATCATTGAGTTGAAGTGGTTGGTGATCGTAGAGCTTTCTTGGCTGTGATGCATCTCCACTATCCATGGGGATTACTGAGTCTGAAACAAGAATACCAGTTACCAATTAGGTAAATGTTAATGCCAAATCAATGGATTTTAAGATTCTCACCAGCTCTTCTAAGACTTATAAACTTCTGAAAGTCTGTTTGGGATCTTGTCTCATAGTTCCTTTCATCTTTTTCCTCAGAATTTGTCACCTGCAACAAAGAAAAAAAGCATTGAACAGTGAATTATATAGACATAATGTTTCAGAAACCAATTATGACCAGTTTAGAGATTAGATACGTACTGGTGGGAGATCACTTAATGCATCACCAAGTCTAAGAGCCTTTTCCAGCTTAAGATTCTTTTGGCTCTGTCCAACTAGTATCTCCTGCATGTACAACAAATGAAAAAGCAATTCAATAATAGTATCATTGTGGGAGATTTAAAAGTAGAAACGTCTGCATTTAAAAGAAAATGACTTGCCTCAAATTCTGTAGGGGTTAAGCCTTTGTTGAGTACATCATGAGTGGGCAAAGGATATGGTGGCAGTTTCTGTTAACCAAATTATGAGAGCAAGATGCTTATAGATCCTTGGGTTATAAAATTTCTCATTTAAGTGTAAACCATTATGTAAAAAATATTTACCTCTGTCGGTTGTGCACCCCATAGGAATACTCGGTTTCTGACTTGAGGAACACCGTAAGATCCTGCAATCATCATGCCTAGTCTCGTCTGATAGTTCATTGAAACCAAACGAGCAACTGCATAACGAGCCAAAAACCCCGCCGAAAACTTTAACAGATCGACGACATTTTCCATGAGGACGTAATTTGGCTTCAAGAAGTCAATGATATCCATGTAGACAAGCAACTGTTTATTTTTTTCATCTTCAAGAGGTGCATCTTTATTTCGGAAACGATTAAAGCCACTAACTCCTTGACATGGAGGGCCTCCACACACGAAATTAACACCACCCTGAAAAAGTAACAAATTTTTAAGAGACTAAAGTCATTTCGAAGCAAAAACCATACAGCTTCAGAGATTGTTCTACATGATGACTGTTCAGATAAATGGAATTGCATTATTCATCAAACACATAGTAAGTATTGACAAAAAGGGCAGAGATCATAAGTAGCTAAACGTTCTATCCAAAGCAAGTAAAAAGACTTACAGGAAGGGGCAATAGGTTAGACTTAAACCCTTTAGTCACGAACTTCTTTAACTTATCTTTGCATTTTCTGTTGTATATAAAGTAAAACATATCAATAACGATCAAACATCAAATACAAAGGGAGAAACACAGAGTAATCTGGAAAAAGTTACCTTAATCCATCATAAGGCTCCCAAGTATCTTCTTCAGGACCATAACCCTTCCAACGCACCTGAAAGTATTGAAAGCAAACAGAAACTAATGTTTGAATTACATCTTCCGAAGGATAATAGTTGTTTAGACCTAAAGGTGATTCCAATTTATAATCACAGAATTATACCTTAAGATGAAGTGCAGGTGCCTCAATTCCCTTGGGATCTCCATAACAAATGGCAAGAAACTCTTCAACTTCGAACTCTTCAGGTGGAATTTCAGAACT